AAGGGAATGTATCGAGGGAGTAGCAGAGACAATAGTGAGTGCAGACACTCAGGATAATCACAAAAACAACAGAAAATTTCTCAGTGAACACTGCCCCATCCCCCACTCTGAAGTGGTGGGAACTCAGGAAGAGTTTATGACTGTGGGAAGGTGAGCAGGCCTGCAACCCAACCCACGGGAGAGTCCGCACTGCCCCTGTGGCTATGCGTTTGGTGTAGGAACTGCTGCATTGGCCTTGGGAGGTACGCACACCCCCACCAGACTGCTGTGGCAAGCCTGAGACCAGGATAGGCTCTTGGCTTCTGCCCTGTGCCCTAGCAATAGTGCAGAGAGGGTGCCACCCTCAGGACAGAAGGGGTTGGTACATGCTCCCTGCAGATCCAGAAGGCATCTTAATCAGGCCTAGTGCAGACAGCATAGGAGGGATGCACATACAGTACTTAGGAGGGATACACATACAGTACTTTTAGCCATGAAATGTAGGGGGAGAACCCACATGCCTACCTCTGCACACAGAGGCCTGGTGTTGGGAAATCCTGTCAGCACATGAGACTGAATTCACCCAGGGAAAGTCACTTACTAAATTGCCCACAGCCCCTGGGCCCTAGATCTCTGCAGCTGTTGCAGATTTGAGATGTGCCCCAGCACCTGAGACCATGTTGCTCTAGCCCCTGCAGAGGTCTCACTCCCCTGTGGCTGCATAATTGCACTGGGCAACACACACCTGCAGCCACGTGGCATCCTGCACCCTGGGAACAGGCAGCCAAGTACAGCGAGGATGCCACCCTCAGGATGGAGGTGGTCAGTGTACACACATTCTAGAGTCAGAAAACTGCCTATTTTGGGCATCTAGCCACTGCTGGCTACCCCACCTTCACTAGTGAGGCACCCTTGCATCCTGTGCAACCGCAAAGAGGTAGTGGAGGACTCATATGCCTCTCTTGGGCAAAGACACAAGCCTGCAGAACCAGTGAGCCCACCCTGGGCTGCCTGCTCCAGCAAGGGGGCTACAGAGGAATCCAGCATCTCTCTTGAGGGCACAGCAGCCTGCCCACACTGCCCCAGTGACCCCATGCAGGATCAACCACTTCAGCTGAGGAAATCCAGAGTGTGCCAGTAATGCTTTTAGGATCACAGGGGCCTGTCTTTAACCATAGCAGCCTCACCCAGAGTGACCACTCCAGCTGAACAGCTACAGAAGGCCCCAGCATCCCTCTTGGGGATGAGGGGTCCCACCCCAAACTGCTAACCAAAACTGCTAACACCTCATTCAAAGTACTCCACTTAAACAGTGGTGCTGCAAACCATCCCAGTGTTCTTCCTGAGAATATAAGGCCCCACACACAAATCCAAGTACTCCACTGAGCATCTCCACTCTGTGAAGCCACAGAGTACCTCAATGCCTCTCCTGGGGGGTACAGGGCTTTGCCTAGAGCCTCGGGGACATGATTGAGTCACCCACTCTAGCTGAAGGACTGCTAAGCACCCCCATTATGCCCCTCAAATCCGAAGGTCCTAATGCCAAACACCAAGATTCCCACCCGGAGTTGTCCATTTAAGCTAAAGAACTTCGGATCACTCCAGAGCACCTATCAGGGTCATGAGTCACTAGCCAGGGTGCTAGCAAGTCCACCCAGGGTCACTGACCTCAGCCAAAAAGTGGCAGGGCATACAGGAGCTTCAACCCCTAAATCCAAGATCTTGCCCAAAACCTCAAAGAACCAACCTAGCATCACTCATTTCAGCAAGAAGCTACTGAGTGCCTCAGTGCCTAGGCCATGGAGGCACCCACAGACAACTTCAACACTGAATACAGTCAAAGTAACCATACAGAGACTACACTACTGCATCTACTCAGAACCAAAACTAAAACACCCTACCCAGCAGTCAATATAAAACATATCTACAGGAGGGAGTCTCTCTTCTCAAAAGCCACTCCTGAGAATTAGAAGAAGCAACTGCTCTACCAGATGCCCAGACATCAAGGTAGGGATACTAGAAATATGAAAAAACAAGAAAATATAACACCCCCAAAGGGATAGAATAATTCTCTGGTACCAGATCCCAAACAACAGGAAAACTGTAAAAGAACTGAAAAGGAATTCTGAGCAACAATCCTCAAGAAACTCAATGAGATAACAGAAAACTCAGATAAACAACACAATGAAAGAAAAAGAACAATCCAGGATATGAAGGAGGAACACTATTAGTATATATTAAAAGAAAATGTAGCAGAACTCATAGAACTGAAGTGAAGGATTCATTCAGCAAAATAAAAAATGCAACTGAGAGCTTAAGCAACAGCTTAAAGCAAGTGAAAGAAGGAATTCTTGACCTCTAAGACAGCCCTTTTGAAATAACCCAGGCAGACAAAAATGAAAAAGGATTTTTTAAAAATGAAGAAACCTATGAGAGCTGTGAGACAACCTCAAGCATACAAACATCTGAATTATGGGTATTTGGGAGGGGAAGAGAAAGGAAAAGTTATTGAAAACCTGTTCAACAAAATAACAACAGAAAACATCTCAGGTATTCGGAGAGATATTGACTTCCAGATCCAAGAGGCTCAAAGATCCTCAATCAGATTCAATCCAAAAAGGTCCTCTCTAAGACAAATTACAGTTGAACTGTCAAAAGTCAAAGACAAAGAGAGGATCCTAAAAACAGCAAGAGAAAAGCATCAAGTCACTTAAGAGGACCCCCATTAGACTAATAATAGATTTCTCATCAGAAACCTTACAGGCCAGGAGAAAATGAGATGATGTATTTAAAGTACTGAAAAAAAACTACTGCCAGCCAAGAATACTATACCCGGCAAGGCTATTCTACAGAAATGAAGGAGAAATAGTGTATTTCTCAGGCAAACAAAAACTGTGGGAGTTTGCCACCACACAACCAGCTTTACAAGAAATCCTCAAGGGAGTCCTACATCTGGAATCCAAAAAAAACAATAATTACTACTATGAATACATGAAAAAGAGCAAAACCCACTTGGAGAGCAGATATGCAATCAAGAAAGAGAAAGAAACTATATGTTACACTTCAAAAATCAACAAACACCAAAGAGAAAACAATGAAAGGGAAAGAAAGGAATAAAAGATATTTTTAAAACAATAAAAATCAGTAAAATGCCAGGAGTAAGACAATACCTTTCAATAACAACCCTAAATGTAAATAGATTGAACTCCCCACTCAAAAGACATAGACTGGCTGAGTAGATTAAAAAACAAGAGCAAATTATATGCTGTCTACAAGAAATTCACCTCACCTGGAAAGACTCACACTGACTACAAAGGGATGGAAAAAGATATACCACACAAATGGAAACCAAAAATGAGCAGGAGTAGCTATTCTTACATCAGATAAAATAGACTATAAAAACAATAAAAAGAGATAAAGAAGGTCATTATATAATGAGAAAGGGATCTACCCTGCAAGAGGATATAACAATCATAAATATACATGCACCAACATCAGAGCACCCAGATATAAAAAACAAACACTATTAGAACTAAAGAGAGAGACAGATCCCAATACAATAAAAGTGGAGGACATTTACATCCCTCTCTTGACATTGGACAGAACATCTAGGCAACAAATCGACAGAGAAACACTGGATTTAAACTATACTGTAGAACAGTTGGACTAGGCAGACATCTACAGAACCTTTCATCCTATCACCACAGAATATACATTCTTCTCATCAGCACATGGGACATTCTCCAGGATAGACCACATCAGATCCCAATACAATAAAAGTGGAGGACATTTACATCCCTCTCTTGACATTGGACAGATCATCTAGGCAACAAATCGACAGAGAAACACTGGATTTAAACTATACTGTAGAACAGTTGGACTAGGCAGACATCTACAGAACCTTTCATCCAATCACCACAGAATATACATTCTTCTCATCAGCACATGGGACATTCTCCAGGATAGACCACATGTTCGGTCACAAATAAAGTCTCAACAAATTTTTTAAAAATTGAAATCATTTCAAGCTCCTTTTCAGACCACAATGGATAAAACTAAAAATCAATAACAAGCAAATTCTGGAAACTATATAAACACACGTTCCAGAATTAAACATGTTCCAGAGCGACCTGTGGGTCAAAGAAGAAATTAAACAGGAAATAAAAAATTTCTTGAAACTAATGACGATAAAGACACATTATACCAAAACCTGTGGGAGACTGCAAAAGCACTACTAAGAGGGAAGTTTGTGGCAATAAATACTTACAGCAAAAGAACAAAAAGACTCAAAATAAACAACCTAACATTACACCTCAAGGAACTAGAAAAACCAGAGTAACCCAACTCCAAAATTAGTAGATCTCACAGGGCGGATGCCCGAGGCTGACGCCCGCCCACCTGCTTCACTGAAACTCCTCTTTCCCTCTCTCCCTCTCTCTCTCAAGAACACAAGAATAGCAACAAAACTAAAAAGATATATGGGCACTAACCACCCCCCACACACACACTTTGCTTACAGTGGAGGTGCTGAAACCACACCCAACCAGACCCTAGGCGAAGGCCCTGACCAAACTCTTCTATTTTCCCAACACCTTTATTTAAAATTTTTTTTTAGTTATTGAAATATAATTGATTGTACATATCTGTGGAGTACAGCATTGAATATTATTACCTGTGTGCAATATGTGATACTCAAATCAGGATAATTAGTATAGTCAACATTATATGATGATAAACTTTTGAATAAGGAAGAAGGTGGGGTGGTGAAATTTGAAGGACAAACATATGCTTTAGAATAAAAGAATTCAGGGGAGAGTGCAGCGCTGGGAGCGCAGCGACGCTCCCGCCACAGGTTCAGATCCTATGTGGGAATGGCCGGTGCGCTCACTGGCTGAGTGCGGTGTGGGCGACACCACACCAAGGGTTGTGGTCCCCTTACCAGTCACGAAAAAGACAAAAAAAAAAAAAAGAATAAAAGAATTCACACTATTTCCCTTTCTACTTTTCTAAATTTTCCAGAAGGACTGATGACCACCCCAATTCTGCAGGCCACTGAGGCCCTGTCCCCAGAAGCTGAAGCCAGCACAGCACTCATTGCAGGTAACAGAGGCTCTGAGCCAAATCCAAGGGACCTTCGGGATCAGGAGCCATCTCGCTCCAGAGACAGCCTGAAACCGAGTGTGATGAACTAAAATTTTCCCCATACAGGAAAAGCACCACATCAGGGACCAAATCCACTGATGGACTCATTCTGGCATGTAGGTCCTTTTATACACACACACATGGCTAGAAAAGACTTAGAGGTTTCTGTCAGAGGCACTGCCAGTAAATGATAGGTTGGGAGATGGCCACAAATAGATATGCATATGGACACTACACTCGATAACATGGGTTGAGATGAGGATACATGTGGTTTGTTGAGTGGGTGAGGAAGAGGTGGAGGATCAGAGAAACTCCTACAGGAGGCTATGGATTTTAAAAACCCTTCCTGCTGGGATAAACTGTTTCCTGTGTCCCTCCCTATTTCTATCCCAATCATCAGGAACTGGCTTGGGAGGGAGTTCAGTTTTGTTAGAAATCAAAAGCATTGTGGGCCGGCCCGTGGCTCAGTCGGGAGAGTGCGTTGCTGATAACACCAAGGCCTCGGGTTCAGATCCTGTATAGGGATGGCCGGTTCGCTCACTGGCTGAGCGTGGTGCTGACAACACCAAGCCAAGGGTTGAGATCCCCTTACCGGTCATCTTTAAAAAAAAAAAAAAAAGAAAGAAAGAAATCAAAGGCATGTGTCCTTAGCTTAAGCACCAAGAGACTCCAGTCATCATGTGCCATCAAAGCTGGGCTTGGTGGGGAACATGGATTTGGGAGTGGACACTAATTAACTAAAACAAGAGTGACCCAGTTCAGGTGACCCAATGAATTACTGAGATGTCCTCAATCCTGAAACATCTCTGCATTTTCCCTTTCCTTTCCAAGTTGTTATCACCGTGGTCTTCCTCACCCTGCTCTCAGTCGTGATCTTGATCTTCTTTTACCTGTACAAGAACAAAGGCAGCTACGTCACCTACGAACCTGCAGAAGGCGAGCCCAGTGCCATTCTCCAGATGGAGAGTGACTCAGCCAAGGACAAGGACAGAGAGAAGGAGGAATATTTCATCTAATCATTCCCAGCCTCAAGGAGCTTATTTCTGGTTCCAGTGCTAACACATTGATTGTCTAATTTATTAAGTGAAAGTTTTATCTGAAGCCAGTGAGAAACACTGATTGAAGGGGACAAATCCAAGCTACTTTCAGGATACAGGCTCAAATGCCAACATCACTTGACTCCAGGGACCAGTGATACGGAGAAAGTTGCTTATGTCTTTAACCAGGCCTTCATAATAGAGTTGGTGTTTGTGACTGACCTACAAGGTGGGGCTATACCAGGGAACATTTGAGTATATGCCCCGTCTTCACTTTTTTCACAGGTTGAAAGGAGGGAAAAGAGAGTTAAGGTCGTTGGCTGCTCAACTCTTTCCCCTACCCGGTCACCTAGTGATAGCCCCAGTGGAGACTATTGTCCATAGAAGTTCTTCCCAGAGGCTAGATATAAGAAAAAAAGGCCAGGCCAGAGGGGTAAGAGACTGTGAAGATCTCACTTCCTGATAAACATGCTACATCCCTCAATCTGAGCCCTTCATTTCCATATTCCCCAACAACCTCATACTTTTGCTATTTTTATCTGAATTAAAAGTTTTCATTGATACAGAAGTCAGATTCTCATGTGCAAAAAGTAACTACCTTTACATTTTGACTTATCCTCACTTAAACTTTCTTGATATCATTCTTTTTTGTTTATTAACTCCTTTGCATAGTTTCTCTCCCAAGCAATAAGAGCCCAAGGGAGTTCCAAAAGTTCCCAGAACAATTTCAAGGGTTTTCGATAAAGATGGTCTGGGGAAGCTTGTCCCAAAGGAGCATTATCAGAAACATACCTGGGAGATGAGTTGGTTTAGCTTCCATTCTGGCAAGGACCAGAATTTCCTAGAATCTGGGCTGGTCGTTTAGTTCAGTTGGTTAAAGCACAGCGTTACAACACCAAGGTCATGGGTTCAGAATTTCCCAAAATCCATTCTATATATACACAGGGGAAACCAGGAAAAATTCTTCCTACCACCTTTCTCACCAGTGTCCTTGGAATCAAGACAAGAAGCTTCTTGGATTTAACTTAGTCTCAAAATGAGGTGTGTTTAAAAGGCACAATGTTTTGGTGTAAATCATTCGTTCCTCATCTGTTGCTTACTTTGAATATAAGCTAGATGATCTTTGAGGTCTTAATGTATTGCCTCCATTATCCAAGCTCAGGCCCATCCAAGGTAAGATCGAAGAGTTGAGGTATCAGTCTTGGCAGCCTAGATTCCAGGAATTTTCAGTATTTCTCCACACAGAACATTGGAGAACCTGAAGGTCACCATGAACATATACAAACTGCTATACTAAAACATTTTCCTCAAGCCAAACTTTTGAGCAAGAGAATCAACCATTCCCTTAATTCTAAGTTTAGGTTCTGAATCACAGAATCTGAGTTTAGAAAATAAAGTGAAGAAAAACTGAACATCTAAAGTGGAACTCATGAAAATGGTCAAATTTAGCCTGTACTCCTGCATTTATTTCAAAGTCTTCATTAAAGAAAACAGAACAGCAACACCTAGCTGAGTTCTAGGTGGGATAGAAAAGAAGATATATATAGGAGAAATCTAAAAACAAGCTAAGTAAAGAATCCTTGGAATGAGGTGTAATGCAACTTCATCACTTTATTCAAATCTTCAAAATAGTCTTTATTCTACATTTTTAGTATAAAAAATCCACAAGTTAAGTGCACCACAGTGTAGAGAGAGACATACAATGCTGAACTTCCATAACAGTCAATGGTACAGTCAAACATCACATGTACAGAACACAAAATTTAGATGAACTGAAATTGTAAGATAAAATAAAATCCAATTTCAGAAAACAAAAATCAAAATATTAAGGATCCCTGAAATATTCTTAACCCTAATAGGATTTCACTGGACTCAAGTCATTTTGTAGTGAGGCATTCACAATATGACCCTATTAAACCAGTTTAGGAATTCTTGGGAGCTGTGAGTGGCTGCATCACACACTCTAACAAAAAACAGTAACCAATTTTTGATCTGAAAACTTCCCCTAATTTAGCTCTAAAGTCATCAATCAGGCTTTTGAAACGCATCCTCCTCCTTGCCCCTCATATATTAAACAAATTTGTTTATAGAACAGTTTGCGCCGATATCCTTTGTTCAAAAAAGGTCAGTTTTTCTGGCGCCAAACCAAATTTGGGTTAGGTTCACATATGCAGAGACAACCTATGAGGAGGGTCCAAAAGACACCCTCTGCTTATGCCTGAGGAGATACAAAAGAAATAACGGGGTCTGTGCTTGGAGCACAGAGGGAGTCTCAGAGGATCCTGGTGAAAGGCTAGTTAAAAGATGACAAGTGGGGAGAAGTGCAAGGAGAGAAGGAAATTAGTCTGACTGGCTTTCTGTCCTGCACCATTGATTCAATGGAGATTGGCGGGAGGGAATGGAAGACTATGTTTGGAGGTGGAATGGAAAAAAGGCAGACAAGTAATGCGTTTTGTTTATAACAAGTAACAGAAACCAAAGATTTAAAGGAGATTAAATACCAATCAGAATAATTTGGCAACTTTAATTCTTAGGAAGATCAAAGTTCCCTCCAAACCTAATTTGATGTTTTATTACTAAAAGCAAAGACCAGTATGGTACAGTATTACTCCAGAGGAATTAAAGGAAGATCCTTAGGGCTGCTTCACCCACATTCATTTTATGAATGGATACCTCCCCTACCTCAAAATGCTTTAGGGAGGTACTGCTACCATTACATGGTTCCTTATTAAATTTGAAAAGTGCCTGAAAGTTTGGGCACCAGAAAGACACCCCAACAACATGTGTCTAAACTGCAACTTCAGGTTAATATGACTAAAGCAGTTACATTGTGAGAAGTGCTGAAGGTATGTGATGTCTTTCCCGGCATGGAGGTGGCGGCCTTGGTTCCTCACCAGATGGTGTAGCCACCATCTGAGCCACCCATGAAGAAGTTTCCCTTCCGCTGAGTTACAAGGACGTTGGCTCCCTGCATGACTGCAAGCTGAGCAGCATTGGGAGGGCATCCAGGAGGTGGAGGCTGAAAGGAAAGGACAAGGTAAAATGGGCACAGGGCAGCTGAGACAGGAAAGGAGACACAGGTAAGGCAGAGCGCCCATTAGGAAGATGGCAATGTGCTAACCAATAGCATTTTAAGGAGCTAGTTCTGCCACCAATTTGAGTTCTAAAGCAGGTCTATATTCTCTGTGAACCCAAAGATACCGACAGAAAGGGAGGCTACCTTTCATTCAAAGGGTTCTAACTCCAAGATAAAGCCTATAGATACCTTGTGAATACGGCTATGCCAGACCCACAGTCATTTTCAGGGTAGGAAGTCACTCCCACTTACATTCCCAAACAGAAACAGGGTGCCAGGTCCATGGCGAAATCCACAGGGTCCCTACATAGTTTTAGTGGACCACTGGGTAACATGCTAATGACATCGTTCTCACCTTATCTCTAGCATATGGTTACACAGTAGATGGCCTTAGCAAGGCTCTAAATCCCATGCTTTGGGGAACTAAGCAGGAGACAATGATAACTAAAATCCCTAGTATCTTTCTAAAAGCTACTTGCTTGGGATTATGCATTCTACTTTTTTGATCATTAGGGTTCCTAGCACAACACAATGCTGATAGCAACTATTCAGTAAATGCTTATAGCATGAATAAGGAGCATTACTTATCCAGTTCACTGTACCAACATGAACTGGAAAAGCAGCAAACAAGACTCACATAAGATAGGAAAACAAAAGAATCTGGCTAACTCAGACTCCAGTGAATACGCCAGATGCCACTCACCTGCCGCAGCTCTCTTGCCCCCTCAACCACTTTCTGCCTGACTACTGGATGACAGTGGTTGCACCAATACTGCAACTATTATCCAGGGATGGGAAAGAATGAATATGAAGTAACTTCAGAAAGATAAAAGACATACGGGCTGAGTTTTTTCTGATAAGGTCATACTCACAGGAATGTTGCCAGCAGTAGCCCCAGCTCCAAATCTGGCACCTGCATCATACCCTCCTTCCACCAGTACTGTTGAACCAGGTGGATAGATGGGACCAACTGGATAATAAGCCATGGGAATTGTGGAACCTAAAGGCCCAACAGCCACAGACTGGGCCATGGGAAGATACAGAGAGGCGCCAGGAAATGCAGCTGACATGGTAGGGACTGTGGCAGCCCCTGGGTGCACAAAGCTTGGACGATAGAGCTAGAGGAGGCAGAAAAGAAGGCAAAATGTTACTTTATGACATTCCTATTTGAGAATTTAATGAGTCAATTCTAAATTCTTCTTGTGCAGATCACACTTTTGGTGAACTATATAAGTTGCCTTTCCTTGGGCATTCAATATTCTTGATCACTTCCTGCTACAGCTAATGTTAGGCTCAATGAACGCAAACTCATCTTCTTAACCCCAGCCTGTGCCAAATAAATCAGATAATGCATTCTCAACTCCAGGAGAAATTGCTGAATTATATAGTGTTTTAGATTATTCATGTGAGCAGTCTCTTCTGTTTGTGAAGAGTACTAACCCTAACCCTAACCCTAAATAAATAGCTAAGTTAGACTTAGCTAAAGACTGAAAACGTGGTCCAAAAGTATTTTCAACTAGTTCAAGTCTGCCAAACTGCAAGCACCTCTGAGTAGGCAGGTGGAGCATCAGTATAGGGTGGAGCCTGAGGAAGATGCAAGGTCTGAGGATATACTGGATTCCCAGGAGGCTGCACAGGGTAGGTTGGCTGCGTTGGATATTGACCTGAGGGGGGAAAAAAAATACAGGTTGCCTACCATACAGAGCTGCCAAAATGGCAGGACATATTGGGTAGCTAATTTAACGGGAGCAAGCAGAAGGGGATTTGTAAACAGACTGCCCTAAAGGGCCTGATTCCGGGAGCCAAGAAAATAAACACTGTCTGCACCCTTAAAACGGAAGGTGCTGGATTCTGACTGGACAGGAAAGGCGCTCTTTCCATTAGCATACTAATATAAGGGGAAAGTCTAGCTGGACCCGAGTTCCCTCCGGAATGCAGGACAGGTCTGGACACCCATCCCTGATGTTCTGGCCTGCTGATGTACCAAGGGTGCTTCTGCTCTGGGTCGTTTCCACAGGCCTGGTTGTAACCAGGGCAGACTTCGTGGGTAATAGTGGTTTTCGTTATTTACTTCAGATGCCTATTCAAGGTCGACTTCCAAATAAAAAGAATGTGAATAGTGGAAGTGAACAGTGAGATCGGGGAAAGGATGAAGGGGTAAGAGGGAAGGTCCTCACTCGAGAAGCTCTGGATCACAGTCTTGCACACACAGGATCGGGAAAAGGTCTGGCCCTGCCAAGCGAAGGGCGAGGGAGTGCGAAAGGGAAAGAGCAAGAAACCCTGCAGGCCCCGGCCCAAATATCAATGCCAGCACCTCACTAGTTAAACTCGGGGCCCTGCCTGTTGTTCCGGAGCGCGGCTCCCCGCCTCCACCGGCTCTCCATTGGCCTACCCAAATCCCTGCTCTAGCACTCCATTTGCTCCTGCAGATGCCCATCATGGCAAGCCCCCCCGCAACCCCAGCCCGCAACTCCAAACTGCGCCACAGA